TTGCTTAGCCTAGACACGTGTGTGGTGGGTTAGGGGGCACCTTTGTCTTGCCTCAATGAGATGATGGGGACAGACTTAAATAGACTTCCTAGGGGAGGCCTTACCCTCCGAGGAGCAGATGGGAGGTGGGGGGAAGTAAGGGGAGCTGGGATTGGAATGTTAAAAAGTAAATAAAATTTTAAAAACAAAAAAAAAAAAAAATGGAGAGGTTTTCCAGTTGTGGATCTAGTGCCTTTTTCTCCTATATCCAGTATATGAAAATTTTATGCAGTTTTGGGAACAATATCTGTAAATAATTTGGCTAACACTTTCCCTGCCAACATTGTCCATGTCAAAGATGACCCAAGGGTTCTTGGGATTGGAGGGCTTGGCTGGCAGGGACAGGTGCAGTATCTTCACTGCAGAAGCTGGGAAGCAGGATGCCCACCTCATGTACACAGGATTTCCAGCTCTAAATCATCTCTTCAAGCTATATAAAGTTGGATACCCTGGTTTTTCATTGTTTTGTTTTACGTAGGGCCTAATAGAAGTAAGTTAGATAATTGGGGACATACCCTTGAAGGAGATATGGAGACCCTGACACTTTCCTATCTCTTTATTTGCTTCCCAGTCATTAAAGGTTGAGAGCTTCTTTTGCTATGTGCTTCCACTGTCCCTTGCCACAGGTCCAAAATCCAGGTTATGTGGTATGGAGATTTGAATGAGAATGTCCCCCAGAGACACTTGAACACTCGGTTCCCAGCTGATGGTGATATTTGGGGAGGTCTAGGAAATAGAACCTCCTGGAGGAAGAACATCACTAGGAGTGGGCTCTAAGGATTCAAAGCCTTTTGCCATCCCCAGTTCACTCAGCTTTATGTTTTTGGTTCAGTATGTGAACCTTCAGCTTCCTGGTCCTGCTGTTACACCTTCTCTCTGCCACCATGGACTTTAACCCTCTGTAACAGTAGCCCAAATAAATGTCTTCTATATGTTGCCTTGGTCATGGTGCTAAATCACAGCAACAAAAAAGTACCTAATATGCTTGGTAACCATAAGCCCAAACAAATCTTTCCTTCTTGTAAGTTATTTCAGATATTTTGTCACTAAAGATACTTTTCAGGTGTCTTCCTTTTACTCTCTCCAGCCTTTTGATAGACCTAACTCAGAACTGAAATTTTACAATTTTCTGAAGTAACAATTATGTTCTAGCTGAGTGCAGTGGTGACACCTTTAATATCAGCACTGGGGAGGCAAAGATGGGTAGATTTCTGTGGGATAAAGGCCAGCCTAATCTATAGCAAGTTCCAGGATAGTCAGGGATATGTAATAAGACCTAGTCTCAAAACAAAAAGAATTACGTTTTGTGTGTTAATTAAGATTTATAGGAGACTAGGATTAGACTGAGCTGTCACAGTAGGCCCAACAGACCAAACTGCATAGACGTATTCATGCAGAATTTCTGTGCCACCAAGCCCAAACTCAGTTATCTGACTGTCTAAGAAGAAGGCTGAGGGGGGTGGGGGAACGAAAATAGCCAACTCTAAATATGCCAGTTTTATTCATCATGGTAAAGAGATCCTTTCTGCTTTTGTCTTTATAAGGAAATTTACTTTGAAGTTACTAATATGAAGATAGCATGGTAGTATATACTTATGACCCCAGGACTTGGGAGGCTGAGGCAGTAGATCATGAATTCGAGGTCAGTTGGGCTACATAGAAAAATCCTATCCTTAAAAAAAATAATCTGCTTTTTTTTTCTGTTTCTGTTTTCTTCAGTCCTTTTCTGCCTCTAATGCCAGCTGTGCTCAGTTCATCAGGATCCATCTGTTTTATAGAAAGATATTGCCTAATTTAAGAATCATAAACATCACAGTTGTCCTTTAGCCACAGGGAATACTATGATCCCCAGTGGAAACTACAGATAGTGCCAAAATTTATATGTGCTATGCTTTTCCTCTACACACATAAACCTATAGTAGAGTTTGTAAATTAGACACAATAAGATTCAGAATGCAAAAATGAAGAAAAGTATTCTTCACAATTTTATGGTGTGCTTACTTGTTTTATGTCAGCTTGACACAAGCCAGACTCATCTGGGAAAAGGGAACTTCAGTTAAGAAAGTGCCCTCACCAGATTGGCCTGTGGTGCATTTTCTTGATTTATGATGGATGTGGGAGAACACAGCTCACTATGGGTAGTGTCATCCTTGGGGTGGTGCCTTGGGTTCTATAAGAAAGCAGGCTAAGCAAGCCAGTAAACAGCACTCCTCCATGGCCTCTATATCAATTCCTGCCTCCGGGTTACTCCCCTACCTGCCTTTATGATCAACTGTGATATGGAAAGTAAGCTAAGTTCCTTACCTCCACAAGTTGCTTTTGATTGTGGTGTTTTAACACAGTAATAGAAACACTAAGACGTGGATAGATTTGTTCTTACCAAAATCTGTCTATCTATGTAGTACTTATACAGTGTTCTGCCTGCATGTGTGCCTGCACACCTGAAGAGGTCACCAGATCTCATTACAAATGGTTGTAAGCCACCATGTGGTTACTAGGAATTGAACTCAGGACCTCTGGAAGAGCAGCCAGTACTCTTAACCTCTCCAGCCCTGTTCTTAACCAAAATCTTAACAACTTTCACACATTGTTTTATTCCCTCTCCCTTAAGTTGAGAACTTGTACTTTTCACTTAAAGGAAGCACTCTGTGACTTCCTGTTGATATACCAAAATTGCCAGCATCATTTTAAGTACAGTAAGTGTTACTCAAACACAAGCACTACAAGGGTTGATTTGAAAATATTTTAAACCACATTGCACCTTGGGTAATTGAAACCCCAGAAAAGTGAAGCCTTTGGTAGATGCTGTAAAAGCCTGTTAGTGTCCTTAAACTAAATTATATATTTTTTTGTTTTTGTTTTTGTTTTTTTTTTTTTTAAACACAGGATCTCACTGTGTAATTTTGGTTGGCTTGGCACTCAACTATGTGGATCAGGTTGGCCTTGAACTCAGAGACCTACCTGCCTCTGCCCTCCAAGTGCTAAAATTAAAGGCATGCACCACCCATCACCCAGCCAAAGTTTTGTGCATTTTATTTTTTTAAATTTTGTGTGAATGCATGCTGTGGTTTGAATGAGAGTAGCCCCAATAAACTCATGCTTAGTCCGCAGTTGGTGAGCTGCTTTGAAGGATTAGGAGATGTGGCCTTGTTGAAGTGTGTACATGTATGTCCTTTTTGGAGGAGGTGTGTCACCCCACCAGGCCCAAGGCAGTCTGTGTGTGTGTGTTTCTCTCTCTGCCGGCTGCCTGTGAATCAGAATGTAAAACACTCTAATACTTTTCCAGCATTATACCTGCAGGTTTGCCACCATGCTCCTGCCATGATGATCATAGACTAACACTCTGAAACTGTAAGCAAACCCCCAATTAATGCTTTCCTTTCTAAAAGTTGCCTTGGTCATGGCCTCTTTTCACAGCAATAGAACAGTAACTAAGGTGTGTGTGTGTCCACGAATGTATGTACATGCCGTACCACATGTGTGGAGGTCAGATGACTACCTGCCAGGAGTCTGTTTTTTCCTTCTACTGTGTGGGTCCATAGGATTGAACTCAAATCATCAGGGGTTGACAGCACCCACTGATACCATCTCACTAGTCTGGCCTGCCTATCTTCTTTATCATAGGGCATTGTTTTGCAGCCTACTAATGAAGCTCAAACTTGCTTCAAACTTACAACTCCTACCTTAGCCTCACAAGGGCTAAAATTGTAGGCATGAGCTAACAAATTTTTAATGCCTTATAATAACTTATTTCACCCCATATGTTGATCCCATAACTAGAACTAGAATGTTGGGGGATTTATGTCTTATTATACCTATTTATAGTAACTATTACTTCCAAACACCTTCTCCCACCATCTCAGATAACTCCTAAAATTCTAAGTGACTCTTTTCTGCTTCTGCTCTGTTCAGTTTTTCTAAAATAGACATTTTTACTTTTATAAACAACAAATTAGATGAGGAAAAATGTTTCTGAGAAGAGTTCTAGTGCCTAGGGAAAGGCCCATGATAAAAGGTTTATAGTCTGAACAGTGGAAAGCAGATGAGCCATCAATTCTGCTGTGTATTCAAAATAGAGCCTGACACAGCTAAAATACTTTGTAAATATTAACTCTTTGCCTGATTCAACAGTCCCATGATAGGTACATTGGTGTAGCAAATCGTAAAATAACAACACAAAGATAAAGTGAGGGTCTATACGCAGACATAAACCAGAAAAAATTTAAAATTCAGAAATAAATACTCTTCTTTTATGCCCTTCCTCCTGAAACAAGATGTCACAGCCCAGGCCAGCTTCAAATTCATTATGTGGTCAGCCAAGGATGATCTCAAACTTACCATTCTCCTATCCCCACCTCACCTCCTGAGTGCTGGCTTAGATGTGTGGCATCACACCTGATCACATCTTCACCTTTACCTGAAACAGCATAAACATCCTTCAAGTAGCATAGTCCAAGTGTATTATGGAAAATACAATGTAATAGCTAACAGTGTGGAAACTAAATTAATCAAATAAGTAGGTAAGTTAGAACCAATTAGGAGTTTGAAAAGTGTTTTTATTATGTGTACCATATTTAATTATTCCCCATTTTGGAAATATTTATACTTTGCAAAATGCTTTTGCACAGTAGTATTTTGCTTGCTTTTGCTCAAGAAGAGTGAATATATATGTGTATGTATGTATGTGTGTGTATATGTGTGTGTGTGTGTATGTATATGTAGATATATGTATATATAAAATCTACAATGCTAGAATAGTCTCACTAAGATAAGAAAAAGCCAGTGTCCTAAAATGGGAAGCTTTGGCTTTCCCTAGTGTTGAACTCTAGGAGGAGTTTGAGGAGTCACAAGAAGAGCAGTTCTAAATTATGATTTAGTAGATTTCCCTTTGTTGTCAAAAGTAATGAGTTAATAAAACATATGCCAAAGACCTCTTTTTTTTTTTTTTTTTTTCCTAGTAGGTTTGGTGTTTCCAGAAGAAACAAACAGATCTTCTTATTGCCTTTTATAAGGATAGAATTACAAAATTAGAAGCAGCTGTGAAGGAGGCCCAGCAAACAGTGGTTAGCCAGAACAAGTAAGTACCAAGTCAGACTTCCAGCTAGCACCTTTTCTTTCTTTTAGTAAAGCTGTAGTCATTTCCAGATGACTGAAAATTGCCCTGTGTGCATTCATATTTGTATTAAGAAAGTCAGGTACAGCCTGGCAGTGGTGGTGCATGCCTTTAATCCCCAAACTCAAGAGGCAGAGGCTGGCAGATCTGAGTTCAAGGCCAGCCTGGTCTACAGAGTAAGTTCCAGGGCAGACAGGAGAAAGAGGAGGTGAGAAGGGGAGGTGGGAGGAGAACATAAGTGATCAGGAAGATCAAGTTGGGGGAAGAATAGAGAAGGAGAGCAAGAAAATAGATACCTCAATAGAGGGAGTCATTATAGGTGTAAAGAGAAACCTGGCAGTAGGGAAATGTCCAGGGATCCAAAGGATGACCCCCAACTAGGAATCTAAGCAATAGTGGAGAGGCTACCTTAAATTTCCTCCCTTGATAATGAGAATGATGACTACCTTATATGCCATCATAGAGCCTTCATCCAGTAGCTGATGGAAACAGAAGCAGAGATTCACAGCTAAGCACTGAGCCGAACTCCTGGAATACAGTTGTAGAGAAAGAGGAGTCATGAGCAAAGGGGTCAAGACCAGGCTGGGGAAACCCACAGAAACAGCTGACCTGAACAAGTGGGAGTTTGTGGACCCCAGACTGAGAGCTGGGGATCCAGCTTAGGACCAAACCAGGTCCCCTGAACATGAGTGTCAGTTAGAAGGCCTGGGAAGTCTATGGGGCCTCTGGCAGTGCAACCAGTATTTATCCCTAGTGCTCAAATGGACTTCGGGAGGGATACTCTCTCAGCCTAGATACACAGTGGGGGGGGGGGGGGCTGGGTCCTGCTCCAAATGAAGTGACAGACTTTGATGATCCCCTCATGGGAGGCCTCACCCTCTCTGGGGAGTGGATGGGGGGGTGGGATGAAAGATTCTGGTGTGGGGCATGGGAGGACGGGAGGGAGAGGGAACTGGTGTTGGTATGTAAAATAAGATTGTTTTTAATTTAAATAAAAATTTATTTTTAAAAAACTCAAAAAAAAAGAAACTTTTGTCTGAAAAGACAAAAAAGAAAGAGAGAGAGAGAAATAGAGGTGTGTGTGTGTGTGTGTGTGTGTGTGTGTGTGTGTGTGTGTGTATGCGCTAAGAGCCTGGCTACTCTTCCAGAGAACCTGGGTTTAATTCCCAGTACCCACATGGCAGCTCACAACAGGGGACCCAACACCAATGCACATAAAATAAAAATAATTAAAAAACAAGACAAACTCAAAAGAGTCAGGTACAAGTTTTTGGTTGTTCTCCTTGGTCTCTTAATTTTTTCTTCACTCCAAGAACCGTCTTCACCTTTTAGCTTTTCTCTTCTTATTCATTATATTAAAAATTATTTCTTCAGTGATATAGCTAACTCACACTGAAAACACTGTTTCTTTGGAGGGGGGTATTGGAGATCTAAAGCTATCTAAAGCTAAGATAGAATCCTTGTTGGAAACTTAAAATTTTTCTTTAATGCTTATTTATACATTTCTGTTGTCCTCTGACCTCTACATGTATTCCAGATCAGATGACAACTTACAAGAGTTAGTTTTCTCCTTCTGATGTGTGGGTTCAGGGAATTGAACTCAAGTCATCAGATATGATATAGCAAGGCGTCTCCCTGTAGCACAAAAATTAAAAACCCAGAGATAGATAATGGGGTTAAAGCTGAAGATCAAAAAGCAAAGCAGCCAGCCTCTAGAGTCCTCACCTCTACCAGTGCTCAGACCAAAGGGTGGAGCCCTGAACCACAGACTGTTTCCAACTGCACTGCTGCTCAGACTCACTGAGACTGTAGTGAGTTCCTGTCTTCTCCCACCTGATAGTCATCTCTCTGTCCAGCCATATCACTCCTGTCTCCACCTCCCTAGTGCTGGGATTAAAGGTGTGAGCTCTGTTCTTCTTTTCCACTGATTCACTCTCATATATGAGAGGCCCCCCGTGGCCGTTAACTCAAAGAGATCCACCTGCCCCTGTCTCCTGAGGATTTCGATTAAAGGTGTGCACCACCACCGCCCAGTTTGTATAGCTAGCTAGTGTGGCTGCTGGGATTAAAGGTGTGTGCCACTACTGCATGGCCTCTATGGCTAACTAGTGTGGCTAGCTTTGCACTATGATCTCCAGGCAAACTTTATTTGTTAGATCATAAGCAAAATATCGCCACATTTCCCCACTGAGCCATCTCAAAGGCTCAGTTGTTGGGACCTTTAGATACCAATCGTTCAAGAGTATGTATGAAGAAGAAATGGAATTCTATGTAAAAACCCTTTAAAGTCATACCAAGTGACTGCTTATTTTCACTTGTTTTCTTTTTTTTTCAAATATGACAATATGATTATTACTTTGTGTCAATTTAGGTTTTAACACTTTGAATTTTATGAAGAATGTCATTACAAATATTTGTGTACACACTTCTGTTTAAATAGCAGCTTTAAATAAATTCTTTGCATGAAGAAAATGTATATATTTATGTGTTCTCCCATCAAGTTGCTACTAAGTTGACAACCCAGCATATCACATTCATTGGTTAATTCTATAAGCTACAATTCAGAGCAGTATTAAACACTTTGTTGCTCACTTGTTTTCATCATCAAAACCTGCCACCTCCCTGAACCACCAGACCCCAGATGGAAGTTCCTTGTATGTCTGCAAACACCTCTAAGTAAACATTAACTAAGATGTTGATAATAGTAATAATTTTTATCCTAGCGATCTGGACCTGATTGTTTCCATCTTTTGCCTAGAGAGCTATCAGTCTTGAGAAAGGAGAATGGAGAACTGAAGAAATTTCTAGCCATCCTAAAGGTGAATAAAATAGATTTCATTTACTTGTTTTGGTTTGGTGTTTCTAGGCATCAGTCAAACTCAGGGCTTTCCACATGCTAAATAAATGCTTTATTGCTGAGCTTGATCCCCAGGGGTCTCACTGTGTAGTTTATGTTAGCCTTGAACTTGCCATTATAGTCCAGGCTGGCTTTGAATTTAGGACCCTTCTGCCCCAATCTCCTTGTGTGAAGACTACCACCCATGCCACTGTGCCCAGCTGAAATAGGTTCTCTTTACTACTATTTTATCTCCCACCTTGTCCATCTTTCTAGCTGGCTATATAAAACAGTGCTTCCCAGCAAGCTCACAATGTTTGTACAATAGTTACACTGTAGTAAATGAATAAGGGTACAGAAGACCTTGGAGAGTTGAGAGCATCAATATTTTTGACCCATTCTGAAATGTCAGTGAGTCTTGCTATAACTGATAAGAAGCTCTTATCAAAAAACATATTTTAACTTAATATTTCTCTTAAAGAAGGCCAAGATGCCCCAAGACCCTTTCCTTGTTTGCTTTTTCTGTTTTGTTAGAGACTGATTCTAAAATAGCCCAGGCTTTGTACTCATAAATAGAATCAAAACTTTTATTTATTATTATTGTTGTTAGTGTGTATGTACATTAATGTATGTAAGATGTATGATATGTAATGTGTGTGTGCAGGTGGCAGTCACAGGGTAACTCTAGGGAGTCAGTTCTCTCTTTCCATCATGGGAATGAGGGATCAAAAGCAGGTCAGGTTTGGACAGCAAACATTTTTACCTACTGAGCCATCTCACTGGACCTGACTTTGAACTCTTCATATACTCAAGGCTTGTCTGGAACTCCTGAGCCTCCTGCCTCCAATTCCTTAGTGCTGAGATTATAGGTATGTGCCACATAACTAGCTCTTCAGTATGCTCTTATAAAAACAAACTAAAATTTTATTCTCTCAAAGCTAGTAATTTTCTAAGGAAATACTTTTTTTGTCCTCCTGTTGGCAGCCTTAGCTTCGGAAGCTTGCAGATAAATTAATGTAAGACTGACAGCCATTTATTATAGCCTTTACCTGTAGCTTCCCTCATGTCTATGTTTTCACCTACAGGGATCTCCAAGCTGCTACTACGGAAGCAGGTCAGTTTTTACCACACTAGACCTCTACCTTGAAATTTTCTGATTTGTTCTTCAAGACATACTCAGTTGTGTGATGATGTGTGTCATACATGTGTGCAGTGTATAGTGATCAACTTAGGGTACATCTAATTTCCCTCTCTTTAATCCTTAACCATTTTCTTATGGTGGGAAGCTTTTGGCTGGTTTTTCTCAACTTCTACTTGTGTGGGCTCCAAGATGGATAAAATGGTTGATAAATTTATCTTTTCCTTTTCTGATTCTCTGACAGAAGTGAAATCTTTTTTTGATTCATTTTTGTGGTACTGGGGGCTAAGATCTTTTGAGTACTTTACTAGTACTAAGCTAGCTAGTGTGCTTAAGAGATCCCTCCTTCCCCCATCCTTTTTTTTTTTTTTTTTTTTTTTTTTTTTTAATGAAAGGAGGATCTCACTGTGTAGCTCTGACTGGCCTGGAACTCACAGAGAGCCTACTGCTTCTGCTTCCTGAGTGCTGGAATTAAAGATGTGTGACAGCATGCCCCCTCACCCAGCCCTCCTTCTGATCCCCATTTTACTAACCGTTTTGAAACAGTCTCACTGAGTTACCCAGGCTGGTTTTGAAATCTTGATTGTAATGCTCACCTTTGGCTATTGTCTTATGAATTCCTGCTAATACTTCAAAAATCTAACATGTGTCACTTCTTCTGTAATGACTGTTTCAAATGGAGTTGGTCTTTGTTCATTCAGTAACTATTCATTTATTCAGTGCCTACTGCTTATCTATTTAAGTACTGGGTGCACAACACCAAGTCTTTCTAATTAATGATGTCTGTGCTACTAAATATTTTTAATAGTGAATACATTCAAAAGACAACACTGCAGTCACAGAAGTTACTACTTAGTCTTCTTTTAAATTTCTGTATTTTATATATCCATTATAATATATAAATATTGTTGTGCTGGGTTCTTTTTCTTTGTGGTGCTGAAATATTAAATCTTCAGCCTTGGTAAGCAAGCATTCTATCCCTAGGTTTTCTCTGGTACTGATTCTTATCTTCTCTCAGCAGCCTTTCACTCTCTCATAGCTAATTGATTCAATCTCAAGGCATAGGACATGGACATATTATATAAATGTTTGTTGAATGGATGGCTAAATGGCTGGATGGCTAAAAAGATGAATGAATCAGTATATATAAGTTTGTGAGTATTTGGTAAGATGCTACAGGAGGGAAGAAAGAAAAGACTACAGAGTTACATTCTGAAGGAGAGAGAAATGAAGGAAGGTTCCCCTGGGGAATTGGAGAGTAAAGAGACCTCAGGATGGGAATGTGGATTCTTATGTTGGGATGATGCTTCTACTACCAGGGAGTAAGTATTCTGTGCTTAGAGAAGCTACTGTTTTGTTCTTTCTTTTTCCATCTTCCCATGCCTTTCAAAGGAGATTTTATTTTTAATTGTGTGTGTGTGTGTGTGTGTGTGTGTGTGTATGTGCGTGCGCGCGCATGTGCGCGCGCCCACAGAAGCCAGAAGAGAGCATTAGATCCCCTAGGGCTAGAGTAAAAGGCAGTTGTGAGCAGCCAGATATAGATGCTCAGAAATGAACTGAAATCCTCTGCAAGAGCAGTGCCTGCTCTTAACCACTGAGCCATCTCTTGAGCCTCAAAACTACTGTTGGCTATAGTCAGTGACTGACTATCTAATGTGACTTTCCTTCTGCTAAATGAGATCAGAGCAGCCCTTTCTTTTGTTTCCTTGTAGATTAACCACACCTCGACCAGTGGGCATTACTTCCCCATCACAATCAGGTGAAAAAACAATTCTTTCCAGCTACTTGTGTGAGACAAATAAATATCTTTTCCTCATATGGAAGTTGTTGTTTCTTTCCCAGAGACTATAATATGATTTTGCTAATCTTACAGATAGTGTGAAAAACATGATATAACCAGATAACTACCCAAAACAAATTAGCCAGACAAGGCTAATGGCAATTTTTTTCTACACTATGCTTTTGCAGTTGCTCCACGCCCAAGTTCCCAGCATAGCAGCCAAGTGGTCAGGTGAGTAGAAAAGTCTATAGTCTATTATTAACATTAAAACTGTTGACAAAGTTGGAAGATGAATGAGGTAGCTTAAGTGGTACTGAAGAGAATTACTGCCATGTCAAATTTGACACCAGTTTTTTTGTATTTGTTTTTGTTTTGTTTGTTTTTGTTTTGTTTGCATTCTTGTTTTGTCTCATTTTATATAGTCGTTCTTCTTCTATGGAGTCTATCCCTTATACAATGCCTGGCTTTGGTAATGTGGAACAGGTAAGTAATAGTCAAATTATTTTTCTATATTGAGGTTTCTAGTGATTAATGAAAGCAAGGCTGTAAATCAAACATCTTAAATTTTAACTAGGATTGGAATGTAAAATCTAAATTAATAAAAACTGTTTAAAAATCTTTTTATGTCATGCGGAAATATTTCTAAACACTAAAAAATGACACGGAGTCAAGAGGAGTGACTATAATGTAAGCTTTCAAAAATTTAATGCACAGTATTTGTCATGTTCAGTTGGGAAGTAATAAAGCACAGATCTTAAGAGCAGTATGCACGACCTGGGAGAACAATATATGTGTGATGAGTGGTTATAGGGAAACAGTTGGGAATTGGGAATGTAGAGAACCAGGGCATAGTAATTCATGGTCATTATTTTTCTGTCAGGGGAACAGAGGCCTGCAAGAAAGGAGCACTCCCAGAGACTCTTACACTGGTGAGAGAGGGTAGGGGAAGGTATCTGAAGCTGGCATATTCTGGCCAGATACTAGAAATTTCTATGCACAATATGTGTTCTATGAACAATAATATAATGCCGTTTTACTTTTCTCTGAAAAACTATTCTAGGTACACAAACATGTATTACAGATTTCAAGTAATGGTATTTCTGTTCTGAAACAGATAGTGAGAAAATGGAGGGATAGTCATTGGAAACCTTAACGAGTAAAAGCCTGTTAACCCGAGTTTGATCCCCAAACACATATAAAGGTAGAAGGAGAGAACCAACTAAAAACTTGTCTTCTGGCCTTCACTTGTGTACCTACCATGGCATGTACACACACACACACACACACACACATCTTCAAAAAGAAAAGAAAACCTCTGATCAGAAAAATTTAACCGAGTTGTGTTTTCAAAACTGCCACAAGATGGCAGTAGATATTAAGTCTAAAAGAAAAGTTAACCAAATGTCAGTTTCTTTTGTAATGATGGCAACTTATTTCTACATTTGCTGTCATGGCACTCATATGGAGGTCAATGGGAAAGTTGCATGGAGCCAGTTCTCTTCTTCCACCTCTATGTGGGTTCCAGAGCTTAAACTCAGGTCATGAAGCTTGAGCAGCCCACTCTTTATCTGTTCAGCCATCTCACCATCCCAGAACATATCCATTGCAAACCTGAAAGGTGTTTGGCTTTTCACTGTGTGTTTAAGGTAAAAATATGGGCTTTGTTCTAGTAACAATTTTTCTTAAATTCTGTTTTGTCTGTTACTAGTACAGCCACCTCGCTTTTCTTGTTTGCTTTCTGCATGGACTATGTTGTGTGTATGTGGGTTTGGGATTGAGTCAGGGGCCTCAAGCATACTCCCACTGAGACACAGACACATTCTTTTCCTTCTTTCCTTCCTTCTTTCCCCCCCTTTTTTTCAGTCAGTGCTGGAGATCAGATATACACTAGGCAAACATACTACTACTGAGTTATAACCCCAGCCTGTTTAGATTTTCTGTGAATTTTTTCTTTTAACTTAGAATGTGTACATATGCATGCATACCAAACCATGACACACATGTGGATATCAGAAAAAAGCGTTGTGGAGTTGGTTCTCTCCTTCCACTTTAGGTGGGTTCTGATGATTGAATCTGAGTTACCAGACTTGAGCAGCATTGGCCCTGATTTTTCTGCCTTTTAATTGGAAACTTTAATACATTTATAGTCAGTGTAACTGCTGATATGAAAGAACTGCCATTTTGCTATTTCTTTTATATATGTCAGATCCTTTTTCTTCATTAATTCCTTTGTTACTCCTTCCTTTGGGTTAAATTTATTCTAATATAGCATTGATAAATTCTAGTGTAGCACTTTAACTCCTTTGTTATTTCTTTTAGTATATTCAAAACTGTTTGAGATTACAACAAACAAATTTTTTAAAACCTGGTTTAAATTTATACCACATTTAACATCAATACTATACTAAATGTCATACTTTTGTTGAATTAATATACTCAGCAACACAAATTTTAAATTATTGTCTTAATTTAAGTTGTATTTTAAATCTTATGGAGGTGTTACCAAGAAAATTGCACTTAAACTGTCTTTTGTTGTATTTGCCTATATAATTATCTTTCTGTATTTGAATTACTAATTAGTATCCTTTCATTTCAGCCTGAAAGACTGAAATTTAGTATTTCTTATAAGGCAAGTTTGAGAGTGATAAGAACAGTGTCTAAATTTTTGTTTGTGTAGGAATATCTTAATTTCTCTTTCAGTTTTGAAAGATAGTAGTATTGCATATAAATTTCTGGTTGATAATCTTTGGGAACTTTTTTAGTGCACTCTGGTAGCTGGTATGCCAATCTTGCTGAGTGTTATTTGTGAGGAGTGGCTTCTTCTTGGTGTTTTTAAGATCTCTTGCCAGGGAGAGGGCATGTAGCTCAGTTGGTAGAGTGCTCGCACAGGGTTCGTGAAGCCCTGACTTGATCTCCAGCATGTGATAGACATGGTGGCACATACCTATAATTACAGCACTGGAAACTGAGACTGAGGGATCAGTACAAGTTCAATCAATCATTGGCTGTTATGATAACAAGCAAAATATAGGGAACTCTCAAAGAGTTTTTGTATAGTTTTTGTTTTTAAGTTAAATGGTATTGAACACTCTGCCAGCTTTGCTTTTTGTTTGTTTTGTCTTTGGTTTTGGGTTTTTTGTTTGTTTGTTTGTTTGTTTTGAGGCATGATTTCTCTGCATAGCTCTGGCTGTCCTGGAATGTACTCATCCAGTGCTGGGGTTTCAGGCTCACACTGCAATGCCATGCTCAGGTTTACTTTACCAACTGAGCCATTTACCACCACCCCCAGCTCCTGCTGGTTCTTTTTTATACAGTTTTCTTTCTTGATTTCATGAAACACCATTTCTTTTAGCATGTTAATATTATTATTGTATGAGGAAGGGTGTGGGAAGCAAGAGCTCCAGTGCTTAAGCACACATGTGGCAGCCAGAGGACAACTTTGGGAGTCAGTTCTCTCCTCTCCCAAGAGTTCTCTGGATTAAACCCAGTCATTCAGACCCTTGGGTTTGTATAGCAAAGCAAATATTATAATTTCTTTTTGGTTTTGGTTTTTTTTTTTTTTTTTTTTTTTTTTTTTTGAGACAGGGTTTCTCTTGTAGCCCTTGCTGTTCTGGAACTTGCTTTGTAGACCAGACTGGCCTGGAACTCACAGAGATTCACCTGCCTCCTAAGTGCTAGGATTAAAGGTGTGCATCACCACTGCCCAGCCATTTACTTTTTTTTTTTTTTAATATGGGCCATAATCTTTTCTTTGTATGCCACATAATTTGCACACTTTCAGCATTCAGTCATCTAACTGTTAACTGTTCCTGGAGACCTCCCTATTGTATACCCTTGAAGTTGTTTCAAGGTAAGAGCTTAGGCCTTTCCAGCTGCTTCCTGCACTTGTGCACAGTCCTGGGCCTAGATGCTGGGCATGTGTTGGAATATCTAAGAGTCCCAACAGACATCTCATTCCTCCATTTCCTTTATGTCTTTAAGTCTGTCTTCTCAAGCAGCCAAAGCAAGTATCCCATTGTTTTCAGCAAACACTCCTGGGGAAGAGGCTGATATGTGGTGAGCTCTGAGCTCCAACACCTGATGACCTTTAGTTCTAACTCCCAGAAAACCAAAGACCTGTGGCATGTGAGGTCTTCCAGTAAACCAAAGTTACAATAATGACAGTTGTCTAAAATTGCAGCTTTAAGGGTCTGAGGATTTATGGCTTAGTTGGTCAGGTGCCTGCTGGGCAAAGCATGAGTACTTGACTTTGAATTTCCAGCACCCAAGTAAAATCCAGATACAGTGGCATGTGTCTGTAATCTCAGCACTGGGAAGTAGAGACAGATTTCCTGGAGTGCTGGTTGGCTATCCAGACAAACAAAACTAATGAGCTCAGATTCCGTAGAAGAGACTGTCTCAAAAATATAAGGTACTAGGGCTGGAAAGGTGGTGCAGTGGTTAAAAGCTCATATTGCTCTTGCAGAGGACCTGAGTTCTATTCCCAGCACCCACATCAGGCCTGCAGCTTACAACTACGTATAACTCCAACTCTGGGGGATCCCATGCCTTGGGCACCTGTATTCACATGCACATAGATACGTAATTGAAAATAGGCCTTTAAAAAAAATTAGGTACTGGCTAGGTGTGGTGGCACACACCTTTAATTGTAGCACACAGCAGGCAGGAGAGGTGGAACCCTTGAGCTCTAGATCAGCCAGGGCTATATAGTGAGACCTTGTTTTAAAAAGTGTGCAGAACAATGGGGCAGTGGTGTTGCTAAGGCTATATAAAAAATCTTGTCTTGAAAAACATTTAAAAAAAATTGTCAGGAGGCAGAGGCAGGCAGATCTCTGTGAGTTTGAGGCAGGCCTGGTCTACAGAGTGAGTTCCAGGATAGGACTGCACAGAGAAACTCTGTCTTAAAAAGCAAAAACTAAATTAATAAATAGGAAGTGTATAGAGCAATAGAAAACATATGACATTAATTTCTGACCTCCACATACATGTGCATACATATGCACAACTATGCTGTGCAACACATAAACAGAGATGGCAGCTTTGAAGAACTCTAACTCCATCCTCCCCTCTAGTGACTATCAAACCTGTTTTTCATCATGATTATGGCCTGTTGGTTTTCAAAGCTACCATGAAGCTGGAAGAGATATGAGTATGGTTGAAAGGTTATGATGTTAACTGCTTCTACTCACATTCACAGTTTCTTGTTTTTATTAATGTACATTTTCCAGATTACCTCCAGATCTTTATAATTTTAGGAGCTCTGCATTGATATTCTGATTTTGCAAACTTTCTTCTTGCCTTGGATGCTGGGGATCATTTTTAGAGCACTGTATCACTTTCTTTTCACTGATGCTCCCCCTAGACAATTTCATAACTCTTGTCTTTAGCTATACTTTTCATTACCATCTTAAAGGGAAAGTCAAAGAAAGCACAGACATATTAAAGCACTTCAAGGGAGTGTTGGGCCCTGTCCTCCACACTCAAAAGAGTACCTTTGTGAGGTACTAAGTGACTTATGAGCCTTTTCATTTACCATTTGCCCTAACCCTAAAATGTATACAAAAAAAAAAAAAAAACAAAAAAAAAACTTTGACCCCATTTCTTTTACACTAACCTCTGAATCCATTCTAAATTTTCTCACTGGCTCATATTTATGCTTTCTAGAAACCCCTTCACCAGCTTCAACTCATAGCCTCTCTTACAGGTAAGTAACATTGCACTTCTCTCTGTCTCTGTCTCTCTCTCTCTCTCTCTCTCTCTCTCTCTCTCACTCTCTCTCTGTGTGTGTGTGTGTGTGTGTGTGTGTGTGTGTGTGTGTGTGTGTGTGTGTTTGAGGCAGGGTCTCATGTAGCTCAGGTTGGCCTCAAACTCACTATGTAGCTGAGGCTACCCTTGAACTCCTGATCCTCCCTTCCTCTGCCTTCTAAGTTCTGGGGTCATAGGCGAGCACAACTATGCCTAGTGCCTTTTTTCCTTTTTCTAGGCCAACATTCCGAGGGTTCCTTGTCTGATGGCCTATACTACTGTCATTCACAGTCCACAATATATGAGAAGATAGAGTACTGTGTATAAGAGGCAGTCAAGTTATTGTCTTCTCAGTTGTAGACAGGGTTTTCTCTCTTCTCTGACTGAAAGGCTTACTCTTTATATATTCTTCTACTTTCATCTTTCCTCTGTTGTGTTTACCTTTGTTATGTTGGTTGATTAGTTTTTGCCATAGTGTCTTGGTCTATAACCCTGGCTGTCCTGGAACTCGCTATATAGACCAGCCTGGTCTTGAACTTGCTTCAATCCTCCTGCCTCTGTGGATCTCCACCTCTGGGATTACAATTGGGATGGTGTAATTCTAGCTTTATTGATGCTTTTATTTCCATTCCTTAGACCTTCATCTGCTTCCTCTGGACAGGGGATCTCTTTTAGAACATTCCTCAGTGGGGACTCAGGCCACACAGGAATCCTCACTCCCAACAATTCTGGTAAGTTAATGTTCTCAAGTTTCCTTTTCAATGAGAGAAAGGTCTGAATTCTGCCTGATGAGTATATGCCTGTCATCAGTCGAATCCTGATATATACAAGTTGGCCTACTGTGTGATTAAGCTGGCTCCTTCCTCCATGTTCCTCTGAAACTAGGGATGAAACCCAGGACCAGGACGGACCTTACTATGTATCCTAACCACAAATTATGTTTCCTGAGACAGGGTCTTGTGCAGGTCAGGTAGCTTTCAACCATCAGTGAGATCCAGGTTTACCAAAAACTTTTTTTTTTTTTTGGACATCCCATGTTGAGATTTACTAAGAGGGCTCTTTAGGTAAAGGCTTATGCCAAGTCTGGTGACATGCGTTTGATCCCTAGACCTCACAGGTGTGGGAATTGTATGGTGGAAGGCAAAATAACAAACTCCTCAAAGTTGTCCTCTGACATTTACATGTGCACCATGGCTCCCATGTATGTGTGTGCTGATTTGTGTGCATGTGTGAGCACATACACAAATATGAAATGTAAAACATTAAACTGTGGATTTTTAGATCCCACAGTGAACATGCTGGGAGTTCAGTTCCAAAGGTTGCAAAAGCCAGTGTTTTTAAATTGCTGCTGTTAGCAGCCCTGCTGTCCTCTTCAGTAGCTCACTCACATTTTTATACTGCCTCTTTCCACTTCCTGTTCAACTCCAGCCTCAAACTGTTTTGCCCTCATGCTACCGTATATAACTGTGTTGGAATGGGAAAGAAAATTGAGGTGATTGTCCATTCTCAAAGTGCTTAGCTAATTGATTTCAGACAAGATTTCTTTCATTAGCCCAGGCTGGCCTGGGTTCCCTTTGTAACTGAAGCTACTCTCTCAAGGCTGGGATTATAGGATTATAAGTATGTACTTTAAACACACATGCACACGCGCGCGCGAACACACACACACACACACACACACACACACACACACACACGTCTTCCAATGTAGTCCAGGCTGGCTTTGAACTGTCTATGGCCAGGTTGTTCTCAAACTCATGATTCTTCTGCCTTGATATTATAGATATTAGATTTACAAGCATACACCACTGTGCCAAGCTACTTAATAGTTTTTCCCTTCCCAAGTAGCAGTCTTTAAGTACTCACTAGATATTGTGGTCCACAAGTAACATGACTGAGAAATTTCCCAAGTAAGTTATCTGTCATAATTCTGTCCTGTCCTTTAGGTCAGAGGGAGAGCAGAGCCACACCAGAGAATCTTCCTGGTTTCCAACTTCCAGTCCTACAGGTGATGTCTAGCTAGCCAAACTTGTATATGCGTAGAACTCTTCAAGTTAGGCCTTCACACTAAAGGCTGAGGCTTAGGTTGGTAGAAGGTAACCAATGGTGAGTGACACAGGTGTCACTGTGATAAATGGGTGTTTTCAGGATGGTCTCAGTTTCCACGATGCTATCTTACTGACAGATTTTTACAAACCAGTTTGCTGATTTGGTGTTTTCTAAAATTAAGTCACAAGACAGTGGTCTTGGCCAAAAGCATACTGACATTTCCAGTAGTTGCACAACAAAGTTTTTGATTTGCCTTGAGTACTGGGTACCTTTTGCATTGTAGGCAGGTACTTTCCTAGTCATCTGTATCCCCAGACCTTTTTCATTTTAAGTCAGATCATAGTGAGTTACCCAGGCTAGCTGTGCATTTACAATATTCCTGCATTGACATTGAGTGATTCCAAACAGTTGTGATTACAGACCTGCACCATCAGCCCTGACAGTGAAAATACCTTTTCAATGGAATGTATCTTTGGGGTGAACAAGGAAGAGTGTTATGGAACTAATCCTAATTCAAACAACAAAAGGAAAAAGGTGTGGTAGAAGTTTGTAAAGAGATCCATTAAGTAGTAATTTCAGTTTTGCCTTTTAATTCCACTTTTGGGTCTTGGGTTTTGACTTTTTTTTTTGAGGCTATTTTCTCTGAAAGTTTCTCATGAACCAAGGAATAATCCATCCCTGCCTAGTAAGATTTATTTCTATAATCCAAGATACCTTTTTTAAACTTTTTTAAAGATTTATTTATTTTATGTATAGGAGTACTCTATCTGCATGTATACCTTTATGCCAGAAAAGGACATCAGATTCCACTATAGATGGTTATGAGCCACCATGTGGTTGCTGGGAACTGAACTCAGGACTTCTGGAAGAGCAACCAGTACTCTTAATCACTAAGCCATCTTTCCACCCCACCCCCAGATGCCCTTTATTTTATCTGTAAGAAATCAAAATTTAAGTAGGGCCTAGTGGCAAAAGTCTGCTATCTCAGCTACTCAGAAATTGGGGCAAGGAGAATCACAAGTTCAAAGACAGCCTGTGCCATAGCATGAGTTTCAGGCCTTAGTAAAAACCCTGTCTGAAAAATGAAACTTAGCTGGGTACTTACATCCTAGGATTTCAGATGAAATGGGAGGATCACAACTTTGAGGCCATCTTGAATTACACAGTAAGTTCCAGGCCAAGTTGGCTAGAGAGACCCTGTCTTATATAAAAGAATAGATAGGCCAATGATAAGTGTGCTTCCCTGGCATATACAAGTCCTTAGGTGCTATCCATAAAACGAGAATAAAAAGAAATTGAAGTCTAACAGTGAAACCAATTTCTTCGTGTGTAAATTTTTTTTAAGATTATTTATTTTGAATATAGTATTTTTCCTACATGTGTCTGCATGCCAGAAGAGGCCATCAAATCTCGTTATAGATGGTTGTGAGCCACCATGTGGTTGCTGGGAATTGAACTCAAGACCTCTGGTAGAGCAGCCAGTGCTCTTAACCTCTGAGCCATCTCTCCAGCTCCCATAAATTGTTTTTTAAGTCAAGGGGAAAAAAAGGTCTGTGGTTGTAGCTCAGTTGGGTTGGTAGAGTACATACCCAGCATACACAAAGCCCTGGGTTTAGTCCACTGTACTTCATAAAACTAGGTATATACACTCAGGAATGGACCAGAAGTTCAAAGGCATCCTTGCCCACATGTCAAGCTCAAGGCCCATGTTTCAATGGAGAGAAAGGGGACAGGAAGAAAGGGTTTTGTTGTTGTTGTTGCTGCTGCTGTTTTTCTTTTCTTTTTTAGATATTACCTGTGATCCCAGCATTTGGGATATAGAAGTAGGAAAATTAGGAGCTAAAGGCCAGACTGAAATACCTAAAACTGTCTCAAAACAACAAGAAACAAAAAAACAAAAGCCTGGGGTTTGACCTGTAAGAAGCAACACAGAAGAAACAGCATCCCTCTCATAGAACCTTACAAATAGAGATTAACCTATAAGGAAATACAAGAGACCTTTAAATATGTAGCCCCAAGTTGAATCCTGTTAGAAATACATTTATAATTGGATGTAGTGGTACACGCCTGTTATCCCAGCACTTGAGAAGTCAAGGCAGGAGGATCAGGAGTTCAAGATCATACTAAGCTACATAATAAGTTTGGAGGCTAGCCTGAGCCTGTCTCAAAAACAAAAACAAAAAACTTGCCTCTGTGAGATACTTGAGGAATCTGACTCTGGTGGGCACTATTAAAGAATTTCTTTTTCTGGAACTGGGTCTTATTTATAGCCCTGGCTGGTCTAGAACTCACTATGTAGATCAGGCTGGCCTCAAACTCAAAGAAATATGCCTGCTTCTGCTTCCTGAGTGCTGAAATTAAAGGTGTCCAACACTATGCCCCAAACTATTAAAAAACTTTAAATACCAAGGAGTATTTTAGGTCTGATGACTCTGTATTTACACATACATACAAGTAAATATGTATACATACACATGTAAATGTAAAAAAAAATTATGAATAGGAAGTGTGGTGCTCTGAAAGGAAATGACCCCCAAAGCAAGTGGCACTATTAGGAAGTGTGTCACTGTGTCAGTGGGTTTTGAGGTTTCTTTTGCTCAAGCTTCCCTCAGAGTGACAGTTGACTTCCTATTCCCTGCAAGCCTAAATAGTAGGCAGCACAACATTTTCATGCATCCCACCTTGTTCCCAGCCATGATGATAATGGACTGAACCTCTGAAACTATAAGCAAGCCACTCCAATTAAATGTTTTCCTTATAATAGAGTTGCAGTGGTCATGGTGTCTTGTCATAGCAATAGGAACCCTAAGACAGGACATTAAATCGTTTCTAGATTTTGCTTTAGTATAATTTAGTAGAAAGAGGCAATAGAATGTATGAATAAAATATTGGCCATGAGTTGTTTTTTTTTTTTTTTATTGCTTTTTGTTTTTTATGTTGGATGATGGGTTTATTATTCTAATATGCCCTTTAAAACAAAACCTATTAGGACTAGAGAGATGATTCAACATTTAAAAGTACTGGCTGCTTGTTCAGAAGACCCTGGTTTGGATTCCTAGCACCCACATGGTAGATCACACACACATGTTGGATCAGAACCCTTTAATTCCAGTCTCCGGGGATCTCTGATGCCCTCTTCTTTGTGCACAGGTGCACAGACATGCATGCAGCAAAACACCCACAAACATAAAATTTAAAAAATAAAATAAGAAGAAGTTAAAAATAATTACTGAAAAAGTACCACATCCCTAGAGGTGTAAGCTCTCTGCCTCCCTGGTAATATCATAGTTAAATGTTCCTATCTTCCTAAAGTTTCTCATATATTTGACATTATAATCACAAAACACTGAAATACTCTAGTTTCTTAAGTAGCAACAAAGCCTTCATCACACAGGATGTATCAGATCATAGTTTGGACTGGGCATACTGGCACACACTTTTAATATCTGCACTTGGGAAACCAGCAGGCAGATCTCTGAGTTCAAGGCTAGCCTGATCTACATAGACAAGCTGTAGGCAAATAGGGATAGTGAGACCCTGTCTCAAAAACAAAATTTTGGAAGTTAGTCATTATACAGTGAGACACTATGGGGAAGCCATTACAGTTGGTTTTGTTCCACTAACTTTGATGGTTGGAAACACCCCTAATTGTCTGTTTTATTGTCTGTTTTGTCATAACATGCAAATATGTTCTCTACTGCAGACGTTCTACCAACAGAGGCAGATGGGATTAGCCAGGAGAGAAGGATGGAGCATTTCCAGATAGACATCTCTTTTGCAGGTTTGATCTATGCATAATGCTCAAGGAAGGACTTCAATGTCCAAGTACCCACTAAGGGATATAGGCTTGGAAAATGTATACCTGTTGTTTCTTGGTGTCATTCTGCAGCTTGTTCTCTTGAATTTTATATTTTTCTCTCCATAACATTTAAAACGTTTTTAAAAGTGTGTGTGTGTATATACCACTTGCATATGAATGCCTGTGATACACAAGCTTTTGGAAGCCCTAGAACTAGAGTTACATATAGGCAGTTTGTGAGCTGACTAAAATGGCTGCTGGGAAACCCAGCTCGGGCCTTCTTGACAAGCACAAAGCATGCTTATTAACTACTTAGCCATCTCTCCAGGCCCTTGAAATTTTTTATTAAATTTATTTTGTGTTTGTACCTGTTGGGAGTCAGAGGACAACTTGTGGTAGTCAGTTCTTTCCACCAGGTCTTTCCTGGGCTTGGTGGCCATCTAAACCATCTCATTGGCTCAGTCTTTTATCAAAGCACAAGAAAGCTTTTACACTGGGCTTCAGGAAAATAATTATCTCTGCCTCATAAGTACCACCTTTCATTCCCCCAGTTTAAAGTTTCAGAAATCTTTGACCTCATGCTTTGGGGTAGAGAGACTGGATAATATACTTATCCTGGTTCATTTCTGAACTTCACTTTTTAGTGTTGGACTTTGCTTTCCTTTTACCAGTGTTAATAAGCAACAACTGTTCCTCACCCTAATTCATTATACTTCTTACCCGTTGTTCTACATTCAGTTGTTAGGAAATGTTTTGATTTTCTTTTGTCAGAACAATAGGTAGAATAGATTTCCAGCTTACTAAAGTATGTAGATAATGAAGAGGAAAAAATATCATAAAAGAGGATACTCTTATGGCTACTGCAACTCTTGCAGGTTCTAGAACCATGGAATGAGCAAGTGGAGTTAACAGCCTGCTATCACTACTGAAGCATCAATAAATCTTATCATCTGACTGCTGTGAACCATGCATATGCTGACAGATGCTGACTTACTGTCCTCTAGTTTTCTATTTTTATTTATATAATAAAATGTGTCCTGAATCATTCAATAATAAAAATAGACTAAATCAAAAATAATTTTAAAGTGTGCTGGGGCTTGAAATTAGGGTGTCAAACATGCTAGGCAAGCAGCCTATTACTGAGTCTCACACTCAGCCCTTAAATCAGACGTTAATGGACTTGACTACATTAAGTCCCTAGACTCAGGGTTGGTATAGATGTAGCCTATTGGCAGAGTGCTTGGAAGGCAGAAGCAGGAACATCAGAAGTTCAACTACAGCCATACTTTACCATGAGTTCAAGACAAGCCTATAAAAAAAATAAAAACAAAAATAAAAACAGAAAAAACCACACACACACACAAACAGGAATGGTGGCACATGCCGTAATCCCAGCACTCAGGAGGTAGAGGCAGGCAGGCAAATCTATGTGATTTTGAAGCCAGCATGGTCTACAGAGTAAAAACATCAAACTGGTATGAGGAAATATCTATGACAAATATCTATGATAGCCAAAGATACACAGAGAAACTCTGTCTGGAAAAATAGCACACACACACACACACACACACGATACATATGTGCTTATATATACATAATATTTTAAACCATAGGAGTGGCAAAGTGGAAAATAGAAACAATTTTATTTCGGCCTTTTTTGTTATTTTAGCAATTTGGGGCTTGTGCTCTATTTTCAGGTGACTAACCCAGTGTTACCAGTGATCCCCAGTGTTGACATTTATTCTAGAACATCATTGAGTTAGAAGACCATGGTCCTTCTGTCCCCAAGACAGATCCTATAAAGAGGGAAACATTTCTTGTTAGATACAAATTGAACCAGTAGCAAAAAAGGAGAAAAATAAACAAAAAACCAATAATCTCTATTAATCTGGATAGAAATTGGTGTCAGGCTTGTAAATCCAAACCTGTAACATCCCCACTATCTTTCACTGTTACACTGTGCCATTATGTTTCAAGACAGGTTCTTAAGTAGTTCAGGTTGGCCTTTAACTTGATATGTAGTCAAGGCTGGCCTTGAACTCCTTGATCTTCCTGCCTCTACTTGCAAGTGTTGTAATCACAGGCACCATGCCTGGCTCATCATGCTTTAAAGGGCAAATTCCCTAATCCCCACATTCAATAAATATACAGACTAATATTAACAATTTGATTCTTAAAATGTTTCACAAACTCTGTGTAAAGATTTACCCTGAGACAATAGTGAGCAAAGGGGGTTTTTCATAGAAATAAAATGGTGGAAGGAAGATTGGTCCCATTATTAGAAGCAAGAAGTATCTGCTTCTGCATGAATAAGTGACAAAATGAGTAAAAAAATCAAACTGGTATGAGGAAATATCTATGACAAAACTGGGACATTGCAAATCCTAGCTGCAGTATACATGGGCATCTGCTCAGAAAGTCAGGAACGGGAACAAAGCAACCTTGTGTTCTGACAGATGGTAGGATTTGGATCACAATACTTCCCTCCATTCCAGGCCCCATGTAGATGTGGGGCTGAGACATGGCTTAAGTGAACTAAAGGAAAAGAACAAGAGGAAAGCAAGAGCTCTTTCCAGCAACTGTTTGCCCAGATCCCTGGCCCTCTCCACACTGAGGCTGGAGAATTGTGTTTCTGTTGATCTAATACCTTAGTTTGTATCCTGGTCACCTCCCCAACCTACTGTCAAATTACTATCCTTCCTTGTCCACTCTGAAGAACACAAAGCTTTTTAGTTCTTTGTGACAGAGTGTTTCAAAAAGGTTTAAATGGTCAATAAGGTGGTTCCATCTTTCAGTAATAGACCCTTTTCTTCCTCAACCACCCTCAGTCCTGTATGGCATCGTCATCATCATCATCGTCATCTTCCTCCTCCTCTTCCTCACCATCTTCTGGCAGTTCTTCATCTTCCTCCTCCTCTTCATCTAGACAAACTACCACCTCTGCTGGCTCAGACAATCGAGAGTCAAACCAATTCAGCACTTGCTGAGTGCTAAGTCTTGATGCCTGACTCAGTTTAAGGATATCAGCTTCCTGCAGCTTCTGGTGGGTTGCCCAGTACCTCTCTAAAGGTCGTATGTCTGGTGGAAGTGGTAGGGCCGGCAGAGGTGGTGTTAAAGGTTGTATGTCTGGTAGGGGTGGTGGTGCTGGCAGAGGTGGTGTCTTGGCCCATTCTTTCAAGGAATGAGTTGATGGTGTGGGAATGGCTGGATCTTGAAAAGTAGGGGCACTAAGTACTGCATTGTCCCGAAACCATTTTAGTTGTCCATGCTTCAAGGCATATCGGGTGTCACCAAACCATTGAATGATCTCAGGGCGGGGTAAACCAGTTATCTGTTCTAATTTATGGTAATCTTCTCGTCGTGCCCATTGGCACTGTAGAAAAAAGGATTTGAGGATGGCCAGCTGTTCTTTGGTTTTACGCTTAGTCTTTCGCTGGTGTTGCATATCTGGTGAAAGGTATTCTGTGGGGCCAACCCTACTTGCTACTGAGTTATTTCGTAGCCTTTGGGGCCAGGGTGGTTCTGCTTGTGAAGATAGTGCCTGCTCACTAGGCGAGAATGACTGTGGAATATATCCCAAAGGCTGGAGGGGTTTATGGGCAGCAGTAGTTCCATTAGCCAATACCTGGAAAGAAGGAGATGGAGGTGTCCCACTAGGTACTGATTCCTCCTTACAACTACTGACAAGTAATGAGATCGGTGGGGGCTTATCCCCAGCACACGGCTGATGAACAGCTGTGGAGTGACTCCAGGAAGCAGTCCCTACACCACATGACTGGTCAGAACCCCTTTTTGCATGCTCTTTAGAGAGTCCACTGTTCTGAAGATCCTGACAAAAACCTGATTGGTGGAGAAATGCTCTGCTGCCTGTCATCAGAGGTTCCTTCACTTTCTGGTGACTCTGTGGCAGCTGTGGTACCTGAGAGGATTCCTCAGGCTCAACCTTCAATCCTTTTATCTGGGTGGGCTCACTAAGAACCAGAGGACACAGTCCAAGAGCAACCTTCTCTGGAGAGGGCACTGGAGGAGTCTCCTGTGGGGGCCACACTGCTTGGTTTGTGAAAGAGAGAAGAGACTTGAAATGGAGCTGATCTCGGTGGTACACCACTCGGGCTCGAGTCTCTTCTATCTCTTCAGATGACCAGCTAATGCCACAGCGGAGCCGTTGGGCCATGAACCAGGTCTTTACCTTCTCCATCTGCAGCCCATACCGTAGGCAGAGGAGAGCGATATCTGCTAGACTTGGGTAGGGAAAGTAGCTGAAGGTTTGTAGCAGGTGCTCATTTCCATCCAGCTCACTGGTCTGTGCTGCTTGAGTCCACACAAGCTGTAGCTCCTCAGAGATTGGAGGGAGGCAGATGAGCCCTGCTGCCGAGCTATTAAGACTGCTGGCATCTTTATTAGGAGGCATGATGTGTTCTGATTTATGCCCTTCAAAGACAGCTGTAAGAAGAAAAACAGCTCCATCACCAAGGCTCTTCTGGCTCATCTTTTAATTTTTACCAAATTTCTAGACACCAAACAATTTTCTATTTGAATCATGTTGTATAGCTCCTAAAATGCTTCAATCATTTCTCAATTTTCATAACCTTGTCAAGTCATCAGAACCTGCCACAATTCCTGGTTCTTTGTATGAAATACAAAGCCATAGATGTTGGGATAAAAATGACCCCCAAGTCACAGGACAAAATCCTGTCTTTAGAGGCAAAGCCTTTACCTTTCCAATTTCAATTTGATTCTGAAAGCTATTACTCAACTCTCTTGAAGTTCATGGAACAGTACTCACAGACTGAATACTAAACCACAAAAAAAAAAAAAAAAAAAAAAAAAAAAAAAAAAAACCAGACCTCATGCAGTAATCTCAGAATGATTATACTTTATTCCTTAAAAATCTTGGATAGCTCCCAGAACTTGAAGACAGGAAAACAAGCTATCAAGTCAGCATGGGAATGTATACCTATAACCTGGCATTTGGAGATTAGTCAAGCATGGGAATATAAATTTACAACCCAGCACCTGAAGATTAGTCTATAGGACTAGGAGTCCAGGAGTTCAATGACAGCCTAAACTACTTAACCCTGTCTTAAAATTTACAAACAAGCCTGGTGGTGGTGGCACATGCCTTTAATTCCAGCACTGGAGGTTAGGGGTAGAGGCAGGGGGATATCTGAGTTTGAGGCCAGCCTGGTCTATAGAGCGAGTTCCATGACAGGCTCCAAAGCTACACAGAGAAGAACCCTGTCTGGAAAAATACAAACAAAAAGCCAACAAAGAAACAGGGTGGAGATACTCCACCTAGCCCTTGGTGATGGGATTGTGTTCTGGAAACAGGAACCTGTATTAGTAGTACCTTAAAGCCCTAAACTCTAGATAGGTTTTTCCCTACTGGAGTAGGAAGACTTTGAGGCCAGGATCTTGGAATAAAGAAAAGCTTACTCCCCCTGGATTGGGTTTTGTAGAGAGGGAAGTTTCCACCCTTGAGTCAACTTAACAAAGGTTATCCCTTCTCCAAGTCTCCTTTTACAGTTCAGCCTCTCTAAGGAGCCTAAAGATGAACCCCCGCCCCTACATTAACAGCCCACTCCACAATGAGAAAAAGGCTCTCATCTCTTTAGGGGGTCCCATATGTATGCTACTACTGATAATTGAGAAAGCAAATGCCATGTCCATGAAGGGCAGTTCCTGTTTTCACTTCCTTGGAGACCTCCAGGCTAGGCAAGTGCTGTAATACCAAGAGGTCAAGCCCTGGGGTCTTAATTTACTCTAGTCTCTAAAAAATTTATTTTATTTTATGAATGTTTTATCTGTGTGTATGTGTGGATGCACCACATGTGTGCTTGGTGCCCTCAAAGGTCATAAGAGGGTATCAGTTCCCCTGGAACTGGATTACAGTTGGTTGTGAGCTGCTGCCATGTGGGTGCTGGGAATGAAACTCAGGTCCTCTGCAAGAGCAACAAGTGCTCTTAATTGCTGAGCCAGCCCCCTAGAGGCTTTATGATTACAAAACTTCACAATCACCTTAGTGTTTGTTTACTATAGCTTTTAACAGTTAAATCTAACAGACCAGAGTTCATGCAAATCTTAAAGCAATATACTGGAAGGGTACTTTACAGGAAATAAGACAGGTCTATGTGGAAGCAGCTAATAATTCTTAGCTCCTGCTACTTAGCAGCTAGCTGTGAGACATTGGGTAAGTCACTGAAACCTTACTGACCTTCCATTTCCCTCCTATGTAAAGAATGCTGCGTATATAGAAAAATTACATATTGTCACCAAGCACCTATTGTATGCCATGCACGACACAGTCAGAAACAGCAGCTTTTAAGATGGGAGGTTTGGGTTATGGCAGAGTTGAGATTTACTGCAGCCTCCCTGTTCCCTCCCTAGAATGCTGTTTGCCTTAGCCAAGATGTTCCACCCAAAGCTTAGTTTCTTGTCAGAAAAAAGAGGTGCCTACCCAAGAAGTCTATACTGTGGTAGAAGCCTGGGTCTTCTGGTTTACCACTGAGCAATACAGCTCCAGCCTTCAAGACTTTATATTCTATATTTTGGGTTTGCATACAGTTTCAGAATGGATTTTGCTGCTTTGAAAAAAATAAAGATAGAAGATTCAGTGCTTAATAGCACCTGGCTGCTCTTCCAGATGACCCAGGTTCATTCAGTTCCAGTGCAGTCACAGGGCAGCTCATCACCATGTGTAACTCCAGTCCCAGAGATTCTGATGCCCCTCTTCTGGTCTCTATGGGTACTGCATGCATGTGGCACCTTCAATTCCAACGCTCTGAAGGCAGAAGCAGGGCAGGTGGATCTCTGAGTTGGAAGCCAACCTGATCTACAAAGTGATTTCCAGAACAACTAGTGCTACGTAGACAGACCATGTTTCAAAAAAAGAAATAAAAAAATGACAGGTAGTATAGACTCTACAACTACATTGTCAGTATTCTTGTGCCTCCATTTTGGACTAGGTAGAGAAAGAGAATGAAAACTGGAGGATCTCTGGGGCAGAGATGCTGGAGGGCTTCTGTCTGGGGCAGAGATGCTGGTGCATCTATTATGAATATAAGCACACCTGCACCCTTATTATAGGTGCCAAATATATTTTCTGCTTAGTCATTAATTTAAAAAAAAATACACTCAGCACACTTCCCATCTTTGATTTCTAACATGCCCAGCCAGATGAAAAGCATGAGCAGCCTAAACTTGCAGTTTAGATGTCCATTCACTGGTGGGAAGAAAATAGGACTTTGAAATGTTCTGGTTGAACATAGGCTTATACTAAAATAGAAGGCAAAGTAGAAAACTAGATGTGATCCTGCTCAATTCCCTAAGTCTTTATTCACATAAGGTCTGAACTCCTAAGGTGTGTCTGGGTAATACAGGGTTAAGGGCTTTAAGGATTTCTGCGAAGTTTAATTTATGTGCTTCTGAACTTTTTGGATTATGGACTTCTCTGGGAATTAGATAAAAATTACAGACCCCTGGGCTGGAGATAAGGCTCAGCTCAGATTCAGTTCCTAGCACCCATATTTACAAGACTCATAACCACCTGTAACTTCCAGTTTCAGGGAATTCAAGGTCCTCTAGCTTCCATGGGCTCCTGATCATACAGGGTGCACACAAACTCAAATAGGCGCGTGCGTGCCCACGAGTGCACACGTGCGCACGCACACACACACAAATCAATCTTTTGTTAAAAGTGGCAGACCTTCAGAAAATGACTTAAAAAATAGAGGTATGTCTAATAACATTTACACTTGCACTTGGGTCACTGCCAATAAGCCAGCTTCAGAATTTCTGCCTTAGAAGTCTTCCTAATTTAATGGAGGCAGAGTGGTATCTTACTTAAAATTGAACTATCTGCTTAGTATAAACAAATGAAAGAATAGGAGTCAACAATTAAGATTGTCTTGGGGGAGTCTGTGGCACCAGTTGGGGTGGGAAAGGTGCTAAATGGTTCAGAAGCCTGGCTTAAGTGACCTACAAGAGTACATAGCTAATACCCCCAGTGTCCTGGATACTCAAGGTTAGCTATTCTCTAGGAACAGTCCTGGCTTTATTCACTTGTTTGTGTGCTTGCAACAGTGTGCTTCTACAACTGTTTATGCCCTATGTAGCTGCTCATCCCTGGGTATTTGTATAATAATGTAACTAGACATTATGAAAACCTATTAAAATATGAAGACTAAGTTACCTCAGGGGCCAGGCCAACTCAGGAGGATCACAAATTTAAGGCCATCCTGAACTACAGAGTAAAACTAGATAAACAACAACAAAAAAATGCTTTGGACTGATTCAAGAGTATGCATTAAAACTCTGCCCAGTTGGGAGTGAGAAGGCAACTGTAGAACATTGAATTGAGTATACTCCATTCAGTTGGCTTCAAAATGTGTCCCATCTCCATTCACTTTGAAGAAAGCCAAACTGGAAATAACACAATGATCAAAGTGAGTAGCTCTCATGTAGAGTGGCATACTAGAATTACCTGGGAAACTTAAAAGGCTACCCCTCATCCCCATTCCCATCCGAATTGCAGACTGGGATACAGGCGTTCATAGGTTTAAAAAGTTCTCAGGGTGCAGTTAATACTAGAAAAGACGAGTTAAACAGCACACCAAAGATTGGTGAAATCTACTTCCAATTGTAAAGTTTAGTTTGTGAATGTATTTTAGTTTTTAGATTTCTGGCTTTTGCAGTTACTGTCTCTCATCTTAATACAGTAGCTACAAATGGACTTCAAGTACGTGACGAAAAGGTTCACAAGCACAGCATCGATCTAGGCCCACACTGATTTTCAAGCAAGTCTCAAGCTTGAGTTTTCTGCCAGTTTACAAGTCTCAGATAGGGGCGCAACACCGGGAACTTGTGAGGACTTTTCGTTTCCTGGTTGGTTGTCTCAGTATGGCGGGGCACGAGAGTGTTATTCCCAAGTGGCATTGCTTCCCAGAAGTAAGGTCCGGGTGTATATGCGTGTTGAGGTTGCCAGGAGGTAGTCATGGGTATGGGGAAGGCCTGGGAGGCAGTCTGAAGGGCGCCGAACTGGGTCGGAGAACAAAAGTTGCGGCACTTGGAGCGGTGAGCGCCAGGCGGCAGGCGAACCTGCATCCTCGCAGAGGGCGTCTCAACCAGCCTTTCCCATCCCCCTATACACACACTCCTTAGCCTCCCCGGGTTACAGCACAGATTCGAAAATCCAGGGGAGGGAGAGGAGAGGGGACAGAACCCGATGACTTCCAACGGAGGATTCTCCTCCCCCCACGAGGATGGGCCTCTGAGGGTCGAGGTGTCGAACCGGTCAGGAGGCAGGCAGGCCCAGGGGCTGGGGGTCGGTCACTCACCGCGGCGCGGCCCGGGCGGCGGCTCCCAGCCTCGCACCGTGGGCCGGGGCGGGAAAGGGGAAGAGGACAGGGGATCCAAGAGGGAGAGGGGTTGCGGGACGACCGGCT